TTTTTTTTTTTATATATATATTTTTTTTTTTTTTTTTACAGCATCTTTAATTATATAATAAGCCAATGTTATTGGCATATTAGAATTAATTGGAGGCGGATGTGCTTTAATGCCAGACCTGGAACACACTGTTTTCTCGTTTTCTTGGTTGACGCGGTAGGAAGGTCAAACAAAGAGAGTTACGCAAATGTACAAGTCCAGTTAATCCCTGGAAACAATTTACGGATTCTTGAAGGTGACACGATCATCTGTTCAAACAATTATATGCAAGTAACTTGATGGGAATGTCCATTGTTACATCTGGAGGAAGAACGGGGATCGTCCTAACCGGTGATGTTTGGCTGCTTTATAAAACAAATGCCATCATGAGGAAAGTGGAAATATTGACTCACCATCTAAAGACATCAGCCAGGAAGAAACATTTTTAGGCACAGATTGGTTTCCCAAAAAGGATAATGACTCTGAGCGCAGAGCCAAGGTGCTTACAATGTGGTTTCAGGAGAACAAAGACAGTATTTTGGTGTGACCATCACAAACTTCTGATATGAATCTTATGGAGGAATTGTGGGAGGATCTGGAAAGGTGTGAATGAGTGAGGCTTTCTACAAAATGGACTCCGTTCCACCAGTCCTGTCAGGAGAAATGGCCCAAAACTCCAGCAAACCATTGTGAGAAGTTTGTGGAAGGAAACCCAAAAGGTTTGACCCGAGTCATGCAGTTTAAAAGACATCCTGGCTACTGTCCCCATGTATGTAGACGTCAAAATTTGAAGAACGTTACAAAGGAATCTAAGAGTTTTCATTTTGGTCGTTCTAACTAACCAAAAACAAGAGATTTAATTTCAGACAATGAGAAGAAAATGTGCATGAGTGTTTTTTTATGTGGTGTGTGTAAATATCTGGCTTCAGCTGCATATAATTTCATAAACAGTAGTTTGTGCCAAACGGTTAACACAGAGCGCAGTTAAGAAGCAATTCAAAAACAATCGTACATACTTGCTGGTAGTAATTCTTAACAGTTTGCTCCATGGCCTTGTTTATAATGGCAGTCATAATAATTAACCCTAATAATGTTATTTAATAGGCGAAATTAAATAACAGTGAAGGGAAGTGAGATTTAAAAGCATCTGTACTTCCTGAACATTTTTTCACGTCTGCCAGGTTAAAGTCCAGAGCCTGACTGGGATCCCCTTTGCTCCATTAGTCGGCTGCGGTTTGTTGTTGTTTTTAACGCATTCAAGAGGATTTTAAAAATAGCAGCCTGCACATTCCTGCTGCAGGTGGAGTCTGCAAGCAGCCGACGGGTTTCCAAAAACATGGTGACTGCTGGGGATCAATGCTGTAATTTTGCTCTTAAAATCATAATCCCTTTTCCAGCAAAACACTTGGAGTAATGTTACGTTTTAAAGATGTTGCACAAATAAATTTCGCCGTAAAAACGTAAAAATGTTCAACTCGGTTCAGATTATGTTAGCATTGTAAGTTTAAAATGTTAAATTGTTTAAATGATTTAGTCATTTAATTATTACATTTCATTTAAATAAACATTTAGTACTATTATTATTATTATTATTATTTATTTATTTATTTTATTACTATTATTATCCAGGTTCAGCAAAAAGCATTATTTCTGGAGATCTTGTTCAAACAGTAGCATACATTTGTTCACCTCAGCTAAGAAATAATCATAATGTTACGTATAATTATTAAAGATGTCTTACCTGAGTGGGTCGACGGCCTTCCCCAGCTGTGTTAACTTCCACGAGACTCTTTGCTCTTTTTATGTTGGAAGCTACTCCCACCGATCAACCGGTTTCTCCAGTTTTACCGACTCTCTGCTCTGAGTTTTCACTTTAGAGTCTCTGAGAAACACCTCCGTGATTTCCACATCTGTTCTGTTTGTGCACCGTAAACTTTAGCTTCTACACCTTGATCAATTTGAAGTCCTTTTACCTTAGAAACGGGTTCAAAAGCTGCAGGTAAATTTAACCCTCAGACATTAATCAATACTGCTTCAATCACAGCTTAAAACACACTCCAGACAATTTTATTTAACACACTCTAAATCCCTGCTGGTAGTTGTTTTTTTTTTTTTTTTGTGGATTTCACAGATTTCAGCTCTTGTACTCCTTGAGATGTTGACTCATGATCTGAATCACAGATCTGTCAGGCTCTGGAGGATCTGGAAACTGTTGCATTTTTCTTACATAAGTTATAACTTCAACAACTCACAATAACAACTGATTCATCTTAAATATGCCATTTACTTTCCTGTCGTCGTCACCTTGTGAACATCACAATAACCTTATTTGGATAGGTGTGTGAGTTTGTGTAACATATTTGCATGTAGACTTTCATTGTAGTGCTCAACGTTGTTTTAAGATCATTATTTTTTATCTCTTCTTCAGGTTCCTGAGTTAGATTTCTTTCTTTATTTTTCATATTTATAAAACTGTAAAATAATCAATATTTATTTACATATACATATATGCACACACACATATAGAGTCAAACTTATGTTCTGTGTGAAAACTCATAAGTACAGTGTAAGAAATAAAATAATAAAATAAGTGCATTGAACTAGAGGGGTCTTTCGTTTGTTCCTTCCTTTGACTCAGGTTTTCAAATATTACCTTGTACTGTCAGTTCTGACCTGATGATACCATCGCCATCATGTTGTTTCATTGTCAAGTTATTGTTTTTGCTCATGGATTTCTTTCTCCTGGCCACCTTTCTTTGTGGGTCAGATTTGTTTAGTGTCCAGTTCATCATTGTTCTGTCTGAACACTTTTCTGTCTGCAGCCTCTCTGGTTACCTTCAGCCTCCAGGATGAACTGAAATTGAAACTCAGAAAGAAGAGTTTGAATTTCCATTCAGTCTGTTTGTATAAAAGCTCTTCACAACTTCTGTTTTAAACTTTTCCACAACTGTCTCTCTCTCTTTTCGACTTTCCATGTATGTCGTGTTTCTGGGTCTTCGTGATGATGTTTGTTCATTAATGTTCTCTAATGAACCACACAGAACAGCTGAACCTTCAGTTCACAGAAAGACTATGAAGGTTATCCATCACATAAAGCACAATAAAACATACTGAAGTTGTTTTTTTTTTTCTTGTAACATGATAAAACGTGGAAAAGCTAAAGGGGTTAAGAAACTTTAGTGAAAACCTTTGTGTGCCATTTCACTACGTCGACCTTCTGATGTAACACAAGCTTCATAAATCTCACCCAGTGAGTTTTTGATAGGCCATCATTACAAAGCGAGGGAACAGAATGTCTCAACGGGATCAGCTGGGAGGATTCGATGCTTCGGATCAAGTGTCATTTGTCACAAACCCAAGAACGAGTACACAAAACAAACAGACGGTCTAAAATTAACCCTTCAGAAATACCAAGTGGTACTTGGGTACAATAAGGAGTAATAGAAATTAGAAAATAATCCTTTCTTTGTTTTTTTTCAAACAAATGGTAAACACCCTCTTTGTGTACTTTGGTCAACGGCAAAAACACTTTATTTAGTCCAGAGTACTACGAAGCACTTTGCACTACAGTCAGTCATTTATGCAGACATTCATTCACACACAGAGAGCGAGGAGCTGCATTGCTGCAGTCTGACAGAAGAGAGGCTGCCATATAATCAGCACCACTGGACCTTCTGACCACCAGCAGCAGGCGAGGCGGATGAAGTGGCCCAACATTGTGACAGATGACCAATATGGTTTCAGAGGAAATAGATCAACTTAACAGAAGAAATCATAGACAGGATGGATAGAAGGAAATTTGCAATCGGTGTAGATCTCAAGAAAACCTTCGATAGCATCAATCACGGCATCTTACTCAAAAAACTGGAAAGGTATGGAAGTTGGGGAGTAACATTAAACTGGCCTAGAAGCCACATTAGGAAAAAGGAAACAATTTGTAGAAATAAGTAGTCAGAAATCAGATTTATTAAGCATAAGTACAATGACATATTCAGAGTATCAAACCCTGTGACAATACATTTGCAGATGATACTAGTATCGTCTGTACCAGAGAAAACATCCAACAACTCTCAGAGGTGGTCAATACAGAAATGAAAAAAACTACAACTTTGGTTCAAAAACGATAAATTGTCATTAAATTGACATAAAGCTAAATTTATGATATTTGGAAACCACAATATGCAAGAAAATAATGCAATAAAAATAACTATTGACAGTGTTGCTTTAAAACCACTCCATGAGATCACATTTCTGGGTGTTATACTGGAAGATAAATTTAGCTGGAAACAACAGATCTGCCTAGTAAAATCAAAACTAGCCAAAAGTGTTGCTGTCTTGAGGGGAATAAGATTTGTCCTGGACTACAAATCTTGGTTGATTTTCTATAATACACTCATCGTACCACATTTGACATATTATGTGGGCGTTTTGGGGCAATACATGCAAAACAAATTTACAGCCATTGTACATAATACAAACAAAAATCAATCTGAATACTACATGAAGTGGGATATTGGGAACATGCAAACCTGCTATTTTTTCTTTCATTCAAATGTACCGAAGTTCTGGGACTTTGTAAAATGTAAAAATGTACAATTCACGATTAAAGTAAGGCTACATTCACTCTGCAGGCCAAAGTGACCAAGTTCAGATATTTTTTTTTTTTTTTTTTTTTTCCTAAATGCGTCAGTCTGAACAACACAGGTCGGATTGTTTTCAAATGCGACCCAGGCTACTTAGATATCCGATACGTATCCGATTCAAATGTGACCTGATTCTGAACGGTCAGGTCGCATTCATCATCTGACCTGAACGTCATTGATACTTGACAAACCTCACTATTCTGCGTCATGAAACAACATCCATGGCGGACTAGCATGAGGATTAAGTTGTTAACATTCTGGCTCCGGTCGGACAACAACTTCAAAATCGTAGGCTATGCTCCACTATTAGCATTCATGTTTATGTCCGCAAAAACTGAGCACTTCTTCTTATGGCGGTTGGTAAAACACTGAGCACGCTCTCTCTATGTGTGACGTTATTGCGCCCTCTACTGCGCATGCGGGGCATTTTCAGGTCGGAATTAGGTCATTTCAGGCTGCAGTGTGAACGCAGCCTAACTTCCAACACAATATGCAAAAAATGTTTTGTGACAAAGGGTGTTATAATTTAAGAGAAGGATTAGAACAATCAAAAAGAGCTTTGGTTTATTAGTCTGTGGTATAGATTTATGGAATGGATTAAATGATGAGGTTTTTTTTTTTAAAGTACAAATGTAAACCAGCTTTAAGAAACAATTTAAATATGAGCTTTTTGGGAAATATGTTATAGGATGTACATTTGTACATTTAAGGGTGAGAATGTGATGTTTGAGTATCATTCAGTGTGGGAATCATTTAAGAGTTTATCTGGTGTGAGGAGATTTAAACGTTTGTAGGCTATGAGAGAGGCAGGAAATCATGAGATCTGGTACCTTATCTATCTGCTCCTTTTCGAACAAATAATGCAAGATTGCATGTCGCTGGACACGGTAATTTATTTAAATTTTATTTTGTTTTTACTTTCTGTCCGGTCTAAATAAATAAATAAAGGAAAATGGATGAAACGGGGTTCAAACTAGTACAGGATTTGTACTGGTGTCCGTGAAATAAACATCTCAAAGTTGATCAAACTTTATTACTTATAAGGGTTAAATACCATTGGAACAAACAGCATCAGACTCTTTGCCACTCTATAAATGCAATGCAAGTGTCTTAAAACATTTATAAAAACATGTTAGTTTTTTTGTTGTTTTGGTTTTCTTTCTTTTTTTTCTTTTTTTTTTTTTAAAGTACAAATGTAAACCAGCTTTAAGAAACAATTT